AAGGTGTTTGGGTTCTACACAAACGGTCAGATGACAACAAAGCCCAGCGCATAACAATTTGCTATTCATTGATAACCAGACATGAGAAAGAACAATTTTTTCCATCAGATTGTTGAGAAGTGGGTTCTTTATGCCAACATCAAGCGCAAGAATCATTGGCTTAGCCCTGGCCTGAACCCAATTCAACAAAACGGGTTCCTTCTTCAGCGTGACAATGTGGGACCACATTCTGTAAGAATGCCTCAGAAAAAGATCAGAGATTTGGATCGGGAAGTCATGTCTCACCCTTCATACTTTCCTGACATTGTGCCTCTTCAAGACTACAATTTATTCAGACCTATTCAGCACTTTCTCGGGGGTAAAACCTTCAGAAATATTGATGGCATTAAAACTGTTCTCGCTGAATTCTTTGTCTCAAAGAAGCTTCCTTTTATAGACGAAGAACTGGAAGCTTGATTGAAAGATGGCACATTGTCATTAATAATAATGGAGAGTGTGTACTGATTGAAAAATAAATAACTATTTTTAAAAAGATCTTTTACAGTATAAGTTAAAAAAACAACACTACTTCCCGGTACCCCTATTAGTTGGCCCCTTCGTAGCACAGCGATATGTCTGCGGACTTACAACGCTAGAAACCGAGTTTCGATACCCGTGGTGGGCAGAGCACAGATAGCCCATTGTGAAGCTTTGTGCTTCACTACAAACAAACCCTAATAGTTAAAAGAAAACTTTTCTCTTTTCGCTTTCTCTGTGGGAGATCTGATTGTTTAATTTCTAGTTACCTTAAGAAGAGTTGTGGGAGATCTGATTGTTTAATTTCTAGTTACCTTAAGAAGAGTTGTGGGAGATCTGATTGTTTAATTTCTAGTTACCTTAAGAAGAGTTGTGGGAGATCTGATTGTTTAATTTCTAGTTACCTTAAGAAGAGTTGTGGGAGATCTGATTGTTTAATTTCTAGTTACCTTAAGAAGAGTTGTGGGAGATCTGATTATTTAATTTCTAGTTACCTTAAGAAGAGTTGTGGGAGATCTGATTGTTTAATTTCTAGTTACCTTAAGAAGAGTTGTGGGAGATCTGATTGTTTAATTTCTAGTTACCTTAAGAAGAGTTGTGGGGGATCTGATTGTTTAATTTCTAGTTACCTTAAGAAGAGTTGTGGGGGATCTGATTGTTTAATTTCTAGTTACCTTTTACTGTACTTCCCATCAATCATTCATTTTGATGGTGTATTTTTTTGCTTAGAACAAGTATTATAGTCATTCATGTAGGAGCCTGTCCACCGAAGTTGCGTGGGGGCTGACCTCCCATTAAAGTGCTCTGCCTTATCTGAGAAATCAGGATTTAGTCTTTTAAGATTTTCAATTATTTGTAAATTGTGCATCCACTGATGTGGTACTATTAACTATTTTGTTTTTCTTCTGATTTTCCCAATAAAATATGCTAGGAAAGCCATTTTATCTATGTAAACATGTTGTTTTTATTTTTACCCTTTAAATTACTTGATTTTATATTCATGATAGAGGGCATTATTAATATATTAGAGAATATTCAAAATTTAGTGCCTGGAGCTAATACGTAATACACTAATACACGTAGCGAAACTTCCGCACTCATATTGTCTTACGTATACATTAATCATTTATGCTAACACTAAATAAGTTTTTTATTTATTTGTTATTAGTACAAAGTTACACAATTGGTTATCTGCACTGTGCCCACCACGGGTATCGAAACCCAGTTTTAGCGTTACATTGGAAAAGATGCTCAATCTATGGAAACTATGATGTTGTAAACGAACATTTCACACCTGTTTTCTCGAAGAAATTTATTTTTCTTTCTTGTCGGTGTTACATATATATATATATATATTGTTACGTCGCTGCTTGTTTGTTAATTTCCGGTATAAATTATTTCCGAGGAACTTCAGCGATACAAGTCCTTTCTTAAATAAAACTAGTTTATTCTTTCTCGATACAAACTTTGTAATACACTTAATTTCCACAGTCACTTTAAACTTAACAACCTTTATAACACACGCTATAAATCACACTGATTCATACACTTTACTTATGGTGCCTACTGTTCGCTTAACTCAATTATCTCTATCTTCAATCTATATCTCTACAATTCTATCTTTTGCTGGCTTATATACTAAAAAAAGAGGGCGTCTAGCAAACACTGGGACATTCGTGAGGTTTCCCGATAAGTCATGATCTTTCTAGGAACTCCAGCGCGCATGCTCCCAGCGTCGCGTGACTTCCGCTGTCGTAACAATATGTTTAGTTTTAAAACTTTCTAGTTGACTATATTTATCTTATCAAACCACTTGTATTGGTGGATGTCAGTGTTTCCAGTCCATTGGATATCATTAGCCTCATGATTTGCATACTGATAGGCTTAATTCAATTGCAATCTAATATAGTGTTATAAACAACATTTTTTAATGTTGTAATTTAGATGGTAGGTAGAGGGCGCAAGCTTGTGAGAGTAAGTCTAGAATATTTTAAATTAAAAAATTATTAAATATCTAGAACAAGAATTAAGAAGAAGCGCTCGAGTTTTATTTTAAGTCTAGAACAAAAATTAGATGTAAATTTGGGGGAGTCAGACAATAATTTAAGTAATCTTGCAGAGTGAATCAGTGAAGCAAAGCTAGAGTTAAGGACACAGAGAGTTACTCTCTAGCGTGTAAAGTACAACAGTTAATGTGTTTTCTATAACGCATTCTGAGTTACTTTGTCCAAGTAAGTTGATTCTGTATGTTAGTACAGCGAAGTTAACATTGTTTGTAAACGCGGCCTAAAAATTACTATAGCGTTTAAGCGTGTAAAAACGAGAAGGGACAAATAAACTGTTACTACAGCGGAAGTCACGTGACGCTAGTAACACTTCATGAGATTCTCGAAAGATCTTGACTTTTCCTGGCAATTCTAGTCTTTTCTAGGCGCCCTCTATTTTAGTATATAAGCCCGGCAAATAAAGCG